ATGATTTATTCAAGCCGAGTTTGTTTTCACGTCTTATAAAGTACCCTGTCTTTTCTACAGTGGCTTGGAAACCTTCCCCACTGTCACAGCTAATTCTGCATGAGGTTCAGTGATAGCCTCACCCAGACCTGCATGCCACCAAGGTGCCTTTGACACAGGCAGGAAGGGTGTTTTTAGACATTTCCATGTAAATTCTTCTTTTCCCAGAGTTACTGGCAAGGCTTTTAGCAACAGCGTGTCAGAGATGGGGTTTGAAATGCTTAAGGGATGCTGTGCTTCCCTTGGAGGTTAGCACTAGCCAGCTTTTGTTTTTTTTAATTGTAGAGCTAGAGTGGTTTAACGAAGATTGCCTCCAGGACATTAATTCCCATATTTACAACTCTTACCACAGAAAATGCACTTACCATGTTTATGAAAGTTACCTGAAGTAAATACAGCACCCTCAGCATTTGATGTTTGGTTTTTTTTTTCCCCCTATAATTTCAACACTTATGCCCTTTTGCCTAAAGTCAACAGTTTTTAACTTTTGCTAATTGTTTTTCATGACCAGCTCTCAGTTCCACCCATTCTCAACTGGTCAGTTTGGTCCATATTGCTCACATTATGCATTTTCTTTTAATGATGTTTTCAAACAATTTTTTTATACATTTTGAAATGCATGAAGGTAGAAATTATTCACATGACATTGCTGATAATAATGCTGCAAGCAGTAAAGAATCAGTACTAATCACAGTCAAGTGCTTGGATGCAGATGTATATTTCTCAGCTTTTTAGAAAGAATATTTTTATGTTGATGCCTCTTTTTAAGACACTAAAAGTCAGAATTCTTCTCATCCCCACTCTGGCTCAGAAAACCTGAGGAAACGTTTTTCCTGTCTTCTTTCACAAAAGCTGTTGAACAATAGAAAACGTCATAGTACCTTTTATGCACTAGTGTGGCATTTTCTGTACCCTGACGTTGGAAGTATTAATATTAATTGGCTGTGCCTCAAGTGTGTAATATATTTATAAATATGCATTTATTAATATATTTGGGTTTTAAATGTTATTGTGTTCTACTTCAATACCATATTTGTATACACTTGGTATGGCATGATATACAACAAAGTACATTTGTATTTTTACTTATGTATCTTTTGTTCTAGGTTATGTACTGTAATTTTCAAAGGGTTGACATAATTTACCTTCTTTGTACGAGAAGCCTGTTCCGTTCTTTTAAAAACCTGTATATTTTTACGTCACAGTGTACGCTAAAGGAGCAGTGATTGAAATCATTGTTGTCAAGTAAGAATGTATTAAAATTATTAATAAGACTTAAAACCACATGAGACTTACTGAATCATCTGATCTGACCTAAATTTATGACCCTTCCTCCCAGTTCTTCCCTTTGCATACTTGCACAAAGATAGGACGATCAAAAGGAGAAAAAAAAGCCAACATAATAAAGGCCAGCAAAAACTGTACATTTGCATTAGGTCAATGCAACATTTTGTGATTATAATAATACAAACAAATAAACTATAAGGGCATTCACATCAGACCTCATTTCAAGCTGAACTATTATAAAGTGATTAACAGCCTCACACTCTCGCTTTAATTAAGTTATGTTGTGAAATATTCAGCATTTCAACCTGTTCTGGCCTGCCTCTTTTATCATTGAATTACCATCCTTAATGTGTTTTTCTGCTGAAAGATGAATTTCATTTAAGGATTACTGTACACTGCTCTGGCATTTTGTGGTTTCTTGTCAGCCCTTGTGAATCTAGATCATTGCTAACTTCAGTTTCTCTGACATGTCCTATATGCACAGTCTCTTGACTAGCCTGTCTCTGTGGATTTATTAACTCATATTGTATTCCTGTAGAAATGAATGGACATTTTTGATTAACTTAATGATAGAAATTTCAGATGACAGTAGAGTTTACTTTTGGAGCTTACTTCAGGTCATGTAGGCCACAGCAGTTCTCTAGTGACCTATCACTTCACAGAAATTTGTTTTGAAAGTTTCAAGGCAGTGGACATCTGTCTGCCAAATACTTTCAGATGGTTTTAGCAAGGAGGGAATTGAAGGGTCCTTCTGAGCTGGGGTCTCTAAATCCACAGCCACACCCAGCACTGCTTTTTCCTTTCCTGTGGTTGGTTTTCAACTGTTATATCCTACCACATATTTCAGAGGCAACTCAGCACAGCATGATCAGTTTTGGTGGTGTTTTTTCCCTCTCAGTTGTCTGATGATCAATCTGCGCTTTTGGGGAGGGGAGGACATGCTGAACAATATCGTCATGTTCTCTTGTTTAGTCACATAAATATTCCCAGAGGGAGTTCACCAGATCTTGAAATGTGACAACAGGTCAGGTGGGTCTGTGTACTCCCACTACCCTGTAGAACTGTCTGCTCTCAGGGAGGTGGCAAGGCAGAGACTTCTGATGCCATACCTGATCCCATATGGATATAGTGCCCCAGGGATGGCACTCGGAGCCAGGAACTTCCAAAGGAGGTCTTTGCCCTGGCAAGGTGAAGGTTTGCTCAAGCACAAAGGTTTGAGAGACATGGCTTTGGCTCCCTGCACAGTAATTTTATGCCATAAATTACACTCAACTCTGACATTGATTGAAAATACAGGTAGTAATTTATTTGTGGGAAGGTGGTCTAAGGTCCCTGCTCTCCTCTGTGATGGACAAACACAGCATGAATATCTTTGCCCCCAGATCTCACAGCTCAAAAGTGCAAAAAGATGCAAAGAAAGATGCAGTGCTCAAAGGGAGGATCCACAACTTGCAAAACACATGGTAAAAAAGCCCCTTACTAGGTGGTAGGGACAAACACAAGAGAAGAACAAGGAGATTCAATAAAAGTAGGATAAGATGAGGGTCAGAGAAGAAGCAGGGGAAGGTATGGGACAGATTCAGGAGGGAAGAAAATACTTTGCAGAAAGGAAGCTAGCAGTACAGGTGAAAACACACCTGGCATAAAAGGAGGATCATAACAGAGATCATTCTGTTTGCTGTGTTTACTGAAGACTGAATTTCTGAGCAGGGTCTTGCAACCACTTCTCCTTCCTGAAGCCATAGATCAGGGAAGAGACACAAGGCTTGGTGCTCTTGACTTGGACAGGTCAGAGCTCTTGGCTGTGAGACACTGGGATGAGAAAGGAGGGTAACCACGGCAGGGTCTTTGTTCCCACTTTACAAGCTCTGATGTGGCAGTTCCTGTAGCTGCTTGTCCATGCTCTAGACAACACTGTCCCAAAGGAAGCTGCTTTCCTATTTTCATGAGAGCATTGGCCTCCCTAGTGCTTATGGAGCACTGAGTATGGCAGGCACGTGAAACATGCTTATCTGGTAGATGGAAGAAAATGCAAGGCTTGTCCTGTCCATACAGCTGCTGTGTGTTCCTAACAAGTTGTCCTGAATGGAAGCCTTTTACCCCCAGAAACATTGGTGGGGGAAATTCAGACTGCACTTATTTTACCTTAAATTTCACATGGCCTTTCCTTGTTTTAAAACATAAAAAATTGATTAGGACTGGTGCAAATGAAAGCTGGTGCTAAAATGAAGTATCCTATTGTTCTGTCGTTCCTGGAAAAGAGTTGGAGATAATTTCCTGTATGTGATCTTGGATTCTTAATTCACCTAAAACAAATCCTCTCCTAAGGCAGTTGCTCAGAATAGCAGCATGCACGTCAGGATTGTGGCATTGACACACTGTGCTAGTTAAGGGATTCCTTGTAATGCGTAAGAACAGCTAAGGAAACACGAACTGGAACACAAGCAAACTGAGCTAAATCTAACTTTTCCTAAAGTGAGAGAAAAAATTTTTATCTGGTGTTTTTTGAGATCTCTTATAAGAATCTGAGCTCTTCATTCCAGCAAAAAGCAAAAGCCAAACTATGTAAAAAAACATTTTGATGTACCTATCTTAAATTAGAGCTTTTCTTTAGCTAACTTCGATGTGGAATTCCAGTGATTTCAGGAAGTGTAATACATTTTCCTGAAAGAAAGGGCATGTGCTACTACAGCAAAAGAGGTATTTCCTCTACATTAAGTTGAAGTGCTTGGGAAGAACATGCCAGTGTATTGTAAGGATGTACTAATATCACCAATCCCTTCCTTCTATGAACGGGAGCAGCATCTCCTGGGAGAAAGTGAGGGACAAAAAGGTCTTGCAAAAGTAGAGGGTTAAAAAGCTTACACTTCAGTGGGAGTATAAAAATAATGCCTCTCATCATCAGTTTCATTTAAGGATAAAGGGTGCTTAAGCTGTGTGCTATGTTCCGTCTGTAGTATTGAATTCTCTGCAGCCTATGTAAAGAATTAACATGAAAAAGGTTAAATGGAAATTCTGACTGATGCAGGGAGGTACAAAACCTACCAAAGCAAATACGTTTAGAGCAAACCAGGAAACTAGGTAACTGTGTCAATAAACTAGCTTTACATGACGCACTAAAATGCACCTTATTTACTCTGCCTCATTTACAATTCTGTTAGCAGCACAAGGTTATTTTAATACTATACAGAGATCAGAGACTAAAAAGTGCTTGTGGGTACAGGCACAAAGGCTTCTCAAAGAGAGAGAAATACAAATACTCCTTCATGAAATTCTTGGGAAGCTTTCCTTTTTTTTTAATCAGCATTCCCGTTTTATTGTTTAACCTACCCTGCTTGATCTCCCTAGTTTTGGTTAATACGGGAGTCAATTACAGCTTCATCTGTGCAGAATTAACTTTATAGAATATACACTAGGGATTTGTCTATCTCCTCTATTTAGATCTATGTCATAAAAAAATATGTAGTAGAGAACTGAGTGCAAGCACTGCATATGGTACAGGCTTTGCAGATTTATTGTAAAATCATTTTAAATCGGTTAAGCTCTTGCCAGAAGTTAATTAAATATGTTCCTTTGGTGGGGGGTGGGGGACTCTGTGTGCCTGCGTGTGTGTGTGTGTCTCTGTCTGTCTGTGTGTGTGTGTCTGGGGGCGGGGGGACCCTCTGTCTCACTAGGTGGCAGTGTCTGATTACATCTGGAAGGACCACGCCAGCCAGCCTGGTGTCTCCAGCTGTGACCTCCAGCACCAGGATGAAATCCCTGACTCTGCATCCAGCTGGAAAGGTAGCACCACTGTTCACGTCTCTGTCTACACTGTTCACCTCAGCGGCTTCCAGGAGCTCTACAGGCACTTCCTCCGGCTACCTGATGGGGCTATCATTGAGGTAGGTCCGAGCAGGCTCCTCACGGTGAGATTCTGGAGGCAAAGGAGTGCACTTCAGAAGTAGGTCAGTGTCAAAACAGGAAAACAGGCCTGCCTGACCCTGCCCAAAATACGCACTGAAATCTTCCCTAGGAAGACCTCGCTCTGAAACAGTAGTGTAAAGTCAATGAGTTAATGCTTTTTGTGGTGCAAAGTAGCAATTTAGGATTGTTTATAGAGCCATTTAAAGGCAATTATGTAAGATATACATTGAAACTACACACATAGAGATTATTTATAAATATGTATCGCTTAGAACCACATAAAGTCATTCTGTACAGGAATTATTGTATATATAAATATACCAAGTAAGTATTGTGTGCATATATTAGACAGCTAGCGTGGTCATTGACTTAGTTTGTCCTCAGATACACAGAGCTAAAGCACAGCTAGATTACTTACTGGCATCTTGCATGTTTTAGATTGAATCCTGGATGTTGTCAGATTTTTAGCAGCTTGTGCACTAAAAGACAATATAGGATGGTATTAAAGAGAAGTATCACCCATTACTTGTTTCATAGGCTGCATTTTGTTCCTCGTTTTTTCATTTTTATTCTAAGTGTTTTGAAGATTTGCATTTCCTTTTTGCCTTTGGTCTTGTGTTGAGAGACTATTAAAAAAAAGATTGGCATTTAAGAGAAAGTAAAGTCAAAGAATATCACTTTACCTACCCAGATTAGAAGTGGGAGTATCATAATGGAGATCTCTTTACCAGCGCTGGCAGATATTATGAAGAAGTACAATGTTTTCAATGGCTCACTTCTAAGGTGGAGGTGCAGATAGCTTTTTACAGCATAAGGAAAACATTGCTACTGCTCCTTTGTTTCAGTTTTTCAAGGTTCTTTTCTTTATTAAAGATTTTATTCTTAATGTCTTTGCCCTACTTGGCTTTTAAAAGAAAATTTAATTTAAAGGAAACTGTCCTCAAGGAATCCAAACATAATTTTCTGCCTGGGGAACTTGTGATTCACCAGCGTGAAGACACCTTGAAGAGTCTTCAAGCTGGCCAAAGAAAACAAGGGAAGGCACGTGGCCTACCTGAAGTAGAACTTAATTACTGGAACAAAGAAACCGGCAAATCTAAGTCTACGCCTAAAGTCTGTTAAAGAAGCTCCGCGTATGAGTAATTGCTGAGACTTTTGCTTAAACACATTTTCCCTGGTTGAGGTCAACAATGTAGCCCAGTTCCTACTTTCTGCCCATTACAAATGTAGCTGTTTGTGGAATGGTTTTTCCCAATTAAGTTCTTCTCATCTTTTTAGCTGAGAGGTTTCGTCCAACTTCCACAAGGCTGTGGGAAGAGGGTCTTTGAACACCCTCAAGGCAATCTTATCCCAGTGCACTGGTTCAGTTCATGAATCCCTTCTGTATTTCTGAGAGAGGAGAAATGCATTCCCATAAAATGTAGTTTTGTTTTCCCAGATGAGTTTTTGAGGAGCTTCCACCATCGACAAAGTGAGCACTGCACAGTAAGGATGCTCAAGCCACTTTAAGTTTCCTGCACCAGATCACAACTTAATCTATCCCTAAAATCCAGATGACTGAGTCTTATGTCATCGTCTTGAAAGTTGCATGTCTAATTTAGGAGATCAGTGCATGCTTTACAGCATTTTTACTTGTAGAACTAAATACAATTACATGTAAGAAATGTGCTTAACTAATAATTGCAGCAAAACCTATATACAGATCTTACATTTAGCTGATAACAGATGCAATTATACGTTTGTGTATTTTATAGGTCAGAGCTTTCTACTTCAGTTCCAAATTAAGACTATTTAATGAACTTTAGAACTATACACTGAGTAGTGAGAAGTCTGCTGCCATGGGGTAAAATACACCTGATCTTTACCACTTGCTACTGTTGTCTCTGCTCAAGAACAAGTTTTGTTGCCTCTTCTGCAGCCAGACAAGCAGTGGTACTTGAGTGGGGTTAGAAAATTTTTTAGAGCTGAAGGGTTGCATTGCAACCTTATGTATAATTTTTAAGGTGGAGGAGATGAAAGGCTACCTGGGCTTCTTGGGATAATCTTTTCAGTCGGCTGCCTCTGTTGACAACTTGTTGCATATAAATATTCAGTTTGAATATTTAGAGTTCTAAAGACTCAAGTAGTTTAGTTTACCTAACTCTGGTCTAGTTTAGGTATTCTATTCCCAGTGATTCAGTGGAAAGATTTTTCTGGATACTTACAGTCTATTTGGTCAGACGTTTCCTCTTATTCTAAATTTAATCATTGTCAGCTTCCATGTAATTATTTGGATCACCTTTTGGTGTAAATAAGACTTCTCTTTTCCAGAAGTTTACCTACATAATATAATTTCGTAATCTTATCTGTTTTCTGCCAGAATGGGTACAACACCTCACCAGAAGAAACAAGATGGTTTTTTTGTTTCTCTCCTCACCATTCCAGCAGTGGTGAAGGAGGAAAGGCTCTTCTTCCACATTGGCGAGGGCAGAGATTGTCACCTATTCTCTATCCCTGTCATATGAATGACAGCTGCCTTTCTTCTGATCTTTCTTCGAGATCATCAAGCCTCTTTCTCCTCACCAGAGACATTTGTACAAAGTGCTGTTTTGGGACTGTAGGAATATGGTCTCTAAGAACAGGAGAGGTCTACTACATCTACCTTGTCTGCAGAGTCAGAAAACAACTGATTTTCACTTATTTTTCCTCTCTTCTATGTGGACTAGTGCCTGTAGAATACAAGGAGTAATTCAACAGCATCAAGGAACTGGGGGTTACATTCACCTTCTTCCTGCAAAGCAATCATGATTTTTGTTACCGTAACATACCAAGGGTGAAAATTTAATTATTTCAGTGTAACCTTTTGTTCGTTTGTTCACTTTTATTACAAAACTCTGAAGGCAAATTGAAGATAGCAAAATGAAAAGACTGACTTTTAGTTTATGTGACTTTCAGGAATCATGCCTGAAAGAGCCATAACACTTATTCCTAATTATTGCAGTGAAACCTCATAATTCAAGCATTTGGGGACTAAGATCTCTCCATCAGGTGTGTGTAATGCTTTGTGCCATTACAGCATGATGGTTGCTGGTATTGGTAGGTGTTTTTCAGGAGTAGGTGTAATGGAAGGAAATGAGCAATTTGGTGGAAAACAACACAGATATTATAATAACTTTGCAAAAGCCTCTGCAAATATAGACACTGTTCAGAGGGTACCACCAGCATAAGCAGTAGCTTCTTAGCATTCAACTAAGTGAGGTGCATGTGCAGGCTCGCAAGAACACTTGCCAAACTCACCAACATGAGAACAGTATTGGAACCAGCAGGCCAAATTCTTTCTCAAATTTGTGTGTTCAGCTCTCGGTGACTTCAACTTCAGATATGTTTCTGTATCTGCAGATATTGTTTGGCAGGCGTAGGAGGAATTTTGCATAATCTTGCTGTAAAGTCCTTGGATGCTCATAAGGAATTCACTTTACAACCTCATCCTATTCTTCTATATTTCAGTGAAAGCAAGATTTTCTTATAGCCCTAATTCAGCAAAACAATTCCATGTTAACCTTATTTTATCCAAGGAGCCCAAACACTCATTTTACTAATAATTTCCTTTTTTTTATTTTTTTTTTATGTAGGTATAGCCATTTTTTTAGTGCTGTGTGTAGAAGTACACTAGCTAGGAATAAATGTCTCTATATGCAATACTTTCTTTAAAATGTTTAAAACTTCAAGTATGATATAGCCATTAGAGCTGCAGCTTTCCTGGTATAACTAGAAATTTCATGTCTGGTATGAAAAGTAGTTTTATAGGTTTCATAAAGATGAGACAAAACTAACTGTTTTAAAAGGAGCATTGAGTAAAAGGTGGCATGTATAAATTGCTCTAGAAATGTTAAATAAAAAGATTTTTTTTGAATGTGCAGCATAAAAATTATAGAGGTTAAACTTGTAGGTGCAGTCCTTTTATCATAAGCATTGTAAAATTTAAAGAATTCACATGCAGTAAAAACCATTTTCCTTTTTACCTATAATATATTTCTCCTTTATAGTAATTCAGTTTTACTCTTGGCTAACCAAGGAATGACCTTCCCAAAATAAATCATTTTTCATGCTTTTCCTTACTCATTAATCTGATGTTATTTTATTATACAGGAAATTATTGAATTTTAGCATTTTAAATGTATTTTAAATCCATGCACAGAAAAGTTAATGATAGTGGTATGTATTTGCTGTCTACAGGGTGATAACACCAACTTGGTGATTTTTATCTCAAATTTTGCTGACTGGAGTTGATTTCTTATTAAAAGGACAAAGATAAGTCTCTTTAACTCAATAAAAAATCAGTTTCTTATTATAGGCCTAGTAAACCTCAGCATTGTAGAGAAAGTTTTTGTATAGTATGATTTTATCTATCAAATAAGCCTTCACAAATGTCAAGGATTCATCCAATTTAAATTTACTGCATAAAAGAGATCTGTTTTCCCTAATTACTTGAAAAGTACCTAGCAGTAATAGGATAAGACAGCGTAGGTGACTAGCCAATTACTTAGTTTAAGCTATTTACATCAATCCATATGCTATAAATTATGTCTAAACCCTCTTGCACTTCTGGAAAAGTGAATAAAATCATATAAGTTTATTTTGAATACAAGATCAGATATGATATGCTGAGTGACACTTAAAAAGAATGAAACAGTAACCGTAGCTTATTTTCAGAAGCAATCTTGACACTAATGCTAAATTACAGCTTGGAAACATCTAGCATTTTTACCTTTATGAGAAAAGGCTTTTTACATATTTAACATAATTCTAGGAAAATATACTGGAATTATGTATAAAGATATGTACACTGTAACCAAAGGGCATTTATATTCCCCAGTAGAATACTTACAACAATTTTATTGCCATTTGGTGTCATTTTCTAACAGATATAAAATACAGCCAGTAAACAAACTAGACTTTAGATTTAAGCTGACAGCTGTTCCTTCAGAAGCAATATTCAGATATTTAATCTTAAGAATACTGAATATTTTAGAACTGTTTGAGCAAACTATACTTTTAACATGTGAAGGACTGCATGCTTTTATATACAGTTCTTGGATCTGATAATGACAGTAAAAAACAACCTTGGAATAATCTACACATTTGTCGCTCCCATATATTCCCTGGGCAAGTCAACAAATTGCCTTATGTTTTATTCTTAATTCCACAAATTCTTTTTTTATACACAGTGTTGATATGAATATTGGTCCCTATTTTTTTCCCACATATGCATAAGCCATGCAGTTGACTTCAGTGCAGTTTATGCATGTGAGTGCAGCTTTTTCCGTCTCTAATTCCATTAAGGGGATAAATTGGCCAAGTTTACTGCAAAAGCCCCACATGCTGTTTTCATAAAGAGTCTCACTCTTTATAACTCTTCATGACTTAGCAGTTGCTAAAGGTTTATTGAGAAGAGAAAGAGAGAGGATCGCTGCAGCCCAGTAACTGAGTTTGGTACACTGGGTCAGCCGTGGTGAGTGAGTGAGGACTCCTTGGCTGGGGAGAGGCTGGGCAAAGGCAATTATTTGGTGTAAACTGACCCACTTTAGCTGGCTTCAGCAGCATCGTGTCAGGTTGTCCACAAACATAGCCAGTTTATGAGTTTGTTTCCTGGAGATGCCTGTAAGAGTAGGGATTAACAGCAAAGATTTATCCCTCACAAAAGTGATTCCACCCGCATGAATTCATGCAGGTGTGTACATACTCCTGGGCTGAGTAGGCTTCACCACATGCTGTCTGCCTAATTCTGAGATTTAATCTTGTCCCGTAGAAAATGAATAATACTTTGAAACTGCATTCAGTGGGAGAATGATCCCTCTTGACATGCACTGAGATTCAGTTGGGAATTACACATGGTAAAGGTCAGCTGAGAGATACTCCCATGGTCATAAGCATTTGAAGAAGTACAGCCTGAAAACTTACAGCCCTTTTGTTGAGTGTCATGGCAGTATAGCTAGTTCCACTACAAATAAGAAGTAAATGAGACTATTTTAAGGTATTTTTACCAGTATATATTTCTCCTTTAATGCTATAATTCAATTAAAGAATCAGTTGAAGAAAGAAATTAGTTGTCCAGGCAGTGCTTTCCATCCTGCTGAAAAGATGAGAACAAGAAAAACAGTTTTCTTGGAGAAATCTTGTGCTTTTGTGCTTTTTTCTTAAATTGATTCAGCTCATCTCACAAGTGACATGTGAACGCTGTCCTGAAATGGATCCAGTCTGTTGCTCCTTGCGCTTGTGGTGGCTAAGCCAATCCATCTGCTGCAGATGAAGTGGATGTGCACAATGTGTCTCAGCCAGGAAGTAGTTATGTGTTCATAACTTCTGTTTCAGGTTGTTTTCCCTGTCAAGTATCTGATTAGGTCCTTGTTTGTTTGGTTTGTTTGTTTCCTAGTAAATTGTGGTAGAGTTTTAAATGGGAACAGTGTCTATGAATCTCTTAAGACTATCAGCTGAAGTCAAGACTGTGTTACTACATGCAACAGGGTGGAAACGTAGGAGGCAGCCTTGGAGCATGTGTCCATTTATCCTCTCCCTAGTTTTCTACAAATCCCAGGTTGTATATATTCTACACCTCAGAAACTCACAGAGTTATGTGAAAAGTTTTATTTCCTTCAAGTTGCCATGTCCTGGGTATCTGCGTGGGGACTGTGCTGTGATAGAAGGACTATGAAGGGGATGAGACAGGTCCACCACTGGCTTTTGGCTGGACTCACAGGCTTCCAGGCAGCCAAAAAATTACTGAAATACCAGAACTACAGCGTTATAGCCTTGTTCTGTACATGAATACACAATCTTAAATCATACTGATTGGTTATTACTGGCAGAGAACATGGGATAAGGAGCAAAGATGACGTATCTAACCAACAAATACATTATTTTCATGGATATTTTAGTTTCTTTTTCTGGGGGGGCTGAAGAGTTATACCTGTCTCCTTCAGTTGTTCACAGAAGGGATGGAAGCAAATTCAAGCTCATCCATTCAGTCTGAGCCAATGTGGACAGGAAAAATCCTGTCATAGCACTACATTTGTGCTATATAACAAACAGCAGTGCTGGTAATTAAGAGGCACTTTAAAAGCACTATTTTGTATTAAAAAATCGCTTTCAGTTTCAAACTACTTTAAACACAAAGATTTTCTGTGTTTTCAGTGATTTTCAGAATGATTTTATGCTGCAAGGGCACAGCCACTGATTGTTGTGGAAGGTTTTTTTTATTTTTAAATGCTTATAATCTTTATTCATCTATCACATAGTTTTACCTGAATCAGCAGTAAAATCTCTGAATTCAAAGGATAATTGCCCAAACAGCATTAACTTATTTTATCCAAATAAAAAAATAACCTTTGAAAAAGTACCTTGCAGCTACACAGATTGACAAAATGCATCAATTATAATTTTGCTCACTTTATAATTACACTGCAGTAAGTGCACAGTGAACTTTACTACATGGTTGATTAACCATAAGGTTACTGCTATTAAGTCACTCTCAGAAACAACAACTTGGACTTTAATTTAAGAACATAACTCTGTACAACTTCTGATCGAGTCTAAAAACCTGAGATATTTATACAAGCTCCAATTTAAAGTACAGAAGCAAATGATAGCACATTAATTGTAGCAAAGGGTTCTTATTGCTTCAGTCAGGCATGCTGGATATGTGAACGATCAGATTTAAAAGAAGTCTTGGTATGTCTTAACCAACACCAAAGGAAAGGCTTTTCCAGTGAACTCTAAATATCCCTGTGCTCTTTTTTGCATGGAAACAAGTCTTATGAGGTGCAGCTGGGGGAGCTGAGATTGTTTAGACTGGAGAAAAGGACCCTTGGGGGAGACCTTATCACTCTCTTCAGCTACCTGAAAGGGGGTTGTAGACAGTTGAGGGTCAGTCTCTTCTCCCAGGCAACAAGCAATAGGATGAGGAAATGACCTCAAGTTGCACCAGGGGAGGTTTAATTTGGATATTAGGACAAATTTCTTGACAACCTGAAGGGGTTATCAAGCACTGGAACAGGCTGCCCAGGTAAGTGGTTGAGTCACTATCTCTGTAGGCATTTAAAAGACATGTAGAGGTGGCACCCATGAACATGGTTTAGTAGTGGACTTGGCGGACTTAGGTTTACAGTTGTACTCAATGATCTTAAAGGCCTTTTCCAATCTAAACAATTACATGAAAATAAATGAAATTAGTGTTCCAACTGCTGGGGAATTATGATTAGATCTCCTAATTAAGTATACCCTAATGATACTTCCACATTTTTTTCCTCAGATTATTACAACTGGAAAAATATTTCTGTTTCTGTTAGCTCACTGATGCTATAGGCCCCCTTTTTGTCTTGTATCTTCTTGAACTTCACCTTATGAACAAGTATTGCTATGAAGCTCTGCCATGACTCTGTTGTATCTTTATGCCATGAGAGAAACATCTTTGGACAACCTAAAACTGGACTGTCTCTTAGCTTGAAAGACTAAAACAAAAAATAAACTAGTAGCTGTTCTGTGTAAGTGGCATCTAGCTGAGAAGAAAGAGTAGCATGGTATAAAGAAACTTGCCTAGGATGTAGGATGCACAAGACCACTCCAACATTAGTCACATGTTTCCATGTGAGGTGGGGAATATCCCCTGCATGCCTCTATCCCTCTATTCTAGAGATAATGGCATTTCCTTCCTTCACAGTGTACCAAACCCAGAAGTACAACAAAGATTTTAAGTTACGTCCACAGGTAGATTTTAGGAATGCACACAAAAAAATACAATAGAAATTAGAGGTTATTCTGGTACATATACCAGTGTTTGTATAATCTATTACAGCTGTGCTAAACCAGGTTGAGAATAGCAAAATTCTTTAAAACACTACTATATTACTGGACTAACCTGCTTTTTTGTGCTAACATTCAAGTAACAGCAGCTAGACAGAGCTGAGGCTCAGTTACTTCTCAGTGTCTGAAATGTGATTTCTCCTCACATTAATCTGAACAAATTTTTTTTTTTTTATATGGGCACTCTGAAACATGAAAACCATCAGAGCCAGGGCACTCTTGTGCAAAATGCCACCCACATTACACAAGCTGAGGATCTGACATGTGATGGGGTAACTATTAGTGAACTGAGCTGAATCTGAAGCGGAGTCATGGCTTTTTTAACCAGTTTCCAGTCCTATAACATCATCTTCTCGTGGCCATGATTTTCTTCTTTGAGGGTCTATTCTTTATTCACTCAAATCTTCTCCATGTGTCAAGAACTTCATAAGAAGAAATTATTAAAAGCAACAGGCGTAAAAATCCTCATTCCACTGTTTTACTTAAGCATTTAGAGTGAGAAAAAGTAGGCGAATTCACATTTCACATGTGTTTAAATTGTTAATCTCACTGCTCTATCTGTATTAGTGAATACATTTACAGTAAGTTTTACTTTATAATATTTTGGCAGAACTGTTAGAAAAATTGTTATAAGCCTAGGAGTGGAGCTGAACCATGAAAGCTAAACTGTAAGCTGCTGCTAAGCTGGGTTATTAGTATGACAGAATAAAATTTCACACACACAGAAGCTTCTAAGCTGTGATATTTTGAAAGCAAGAAGACAGGGGTGAGGAAGGGTAATCAAAGTCATCTGTGTTCCCTCTGATATTTCACTGAATGCTGCCATAATAATATGTTGGTTTTGTCTGTTGTGTTTTTCAGGCATTTGGTGATATTAGTGAAGAAAGTCTTTTGTGTAATGAAATGAACACAGCACAGGAGTGCACAAGTGAAATGGACAGTGTGCTGTATACATCTACAGAAATCAAGCTGAGGGAGAGGAAAAAGAGTACAGCAAGGTGGAAAGGTATTATGATCAGTTTCTGTACCTAGCTGAAGAACAATACTGATACCTAAGCATAAAAAGACGGGAGGGAGAGAAGAAAACAAATAATTTGAAAATATGCTTTCTCTTGGGAAGACCAGGGTTTGATCAGTTAGACCTGAAATTTCACAGCTGTGTTTTCCAGTGTGTCTTCATCCTTGGGTAGTTTCATTGGCTGTTGCAAGAGTCCTGAATGCTGAAGAGCTGTCCTTTACCCAAGCACTGTCACACTTTCTATTCAGAAACTCAACACAGTAATGCAATCCACAGCAATCTATCTTGAGCCAGTGCCAGCATTCAAAGTACACTGGGGGCAGGCTTAAATCAGCTATTTTATATATAATTAGGTACACACACATATTGGAGTGAATGCGAAAGTCACAATCTCTCAGACCTGTATTGTGTTTTCCATTGTGTACTGAGTCTTCATGGTGACCATACCTGCTTCCCCAGGAGCTACAGAAGCTTAAAGTAATCTGGAGATAATCCTCGTGCTTTCTTAGTAGTATTAAAATATTGCTCATTGGTTTGAACCAGTCAGTGCCTATTTTATTTAGCTCTTGGACCCCTCACTGTGCCTAGAGTAATACATGCAGAGTAGAAGAGGTCCATGTTGCTCAGCGAAGTTGCTCCTGACCAAAGGTAGTATCAGGGCGTTTGATGACAGAGAGAGAATTACAGAGTGCACTGGGTGTCTTTAGGCATCACTGTTATTGTGAGATATCAACTTCTTCTTGTTCCTTATCCAGGCTTTCAGCAACAGATCTGGCTCCACCAGAGCCTCACACTCAGCTGAGTCCTATTGGTGTTAGTTTTCCAATGCCCTCTGAGGAGTGAAGTTCAGTGAAAAGCACCTTGTTTTACTTTTAAATCCACAGAAATCTTGTCTGCTAACAGAGAAACTTTGGAAAGTTCACTTGAGCACACAAGACATTCTCTTTAGGGAAAACTGATCAATTTATTGTATGGGTTCTTGCTTCTATATCCCTCTTGTTGGGGGAGGGAGGTCATACTCTGTCATTGGTGTATTTACATAATGTCTTTCTCTGCATCCTTTTTTCTAATCTTCAGGAAATCCAGTTGTCTCTGACAAGAGCTAGTTCCTGCAGTCATGCATATTCCATGAAGTTGTTTACATCCTGATCCACATCCATGGTATGGTTACTGTCTGATAGGATTTATATTTCTGACAACCACATCCCTATATGTAAAGTGTTGTCCTGCAAATGCTCCATCTGTAGCTCTTCTGTGTCTTCAACAAGCTTTGCAGTGTGGTGAGCTCATGGGATCAGATAACAGATCATGCAAACATTATTATTTCGTATTATTTTTTTTCCCTCCAAATTGTGGGACACTCCTGGATTTCTCAGGTTTATTTGTTCCTACTTTTTCAGGTTTGCTTGTACCTACTAGCTGTGGTGGGGAAAATGTTGCTTATTTGTCTTTCAAGTTTCATGACTAAAACAGTGACAGCATTGTCAGTAATTGTTCAAAGCACAACGTGATTGTAATTACAAGACTGCAAAAATGCCCAGAAGAGGAACAATGATGACTTCATCTTCCAGTTCTGTAACCAAGGTACAACAGGCTGCAAAATTTACAAGATCCCACAGACTGTTTCTCTGAGGTCTTCATGGTGACCATACCTGCTTCCCCAGGAGCTACAGAAGCTTAAAGTAATCTGGAGATAATCCTCATGCTTTCTTAGTAGTATTAAAATATTGCTCATTGGTTTGAACTAGTCAGTGCCTATTTTATTTAGCTCCATACAAATGCATCAGAAATTAAATCCATCCCCCAAAGGCAAGAACTATGAGAGACAACAGAAGGAGAAGATGGGAAGGGGAACATTGGCAAGAAAGGTAAAATCATTTGTACAAGGCCACCAAAATCAGAGGCAAATGTAGAAATATAGGGACAAATCTCAGTGTCTCTGACTCTTAGTCTTCCCTGTGGTAGGATCCTTTTTGTCCTGAAAATGCAGTTGGAAAAGGGAAGAGTCTCACCTTACTGCTGTTTTGAATCATTTATGCAGAATGCTGTAATCTATTAATTTAGTAATCAGTGAGATTTTTCTAGCATGTATGATCTTCTGGTGTACCTTTGTTCACACTGGTATGGGAAAAATTTTTCAGATGCATTTACCTTTACAAGATCTTACCCAATATATACTGAGCCTTGTTGCTTAATTTTGTTACTTAAATCTATTCTCATTCACCTGAATAATCAGTAAATTACATTAGGTAGTAAGGTGAATGTTTAAATGTCACTCCTGAGAACAGTTTTTCTTTGGGTTTTCAAGATAACAATCTGGTTTCCATTTTTTTCTGGTTTTTTTCCCTGATTTATTTGTGTGTATATGCATATGTGTGTGGCTATTTCATGAGTTACACCCAGACAGAAATAGTGTTTAAATCTTCTGAATATTTACAAGAAGTGATGTGATTTGTGTGACTTCTATTGCACCAGATATTACTTCAATGACTTCTCCCTGTCATAACAGGAATAAAATTGCCTTTTTAATGTTTCCTTTGCCTGTTGATACTTTAAACCGCTGTACATAACTTTGAAAAAGAAACTAACTGAAAAGACATCATTCAGTCTCAGAATTTTTCTGTGGATTTTTTTCTACCTGATCAGCATTATGCTTTTCACCAATTACCCCACAATACTTAATGCCACGCAGTGTGGTGGAGGCTGCTGGGATTGCTTTTGTGCATGAGTGTCCTGTGCTGTGAGTTAAGATGGTGATCTTGCACTTTTTGGGTGACCGTACCAAGAAGACAGCGTGCTGTGGGCAGCATCATACTGTGTGCATCTACTTGGCCTCAGTTTTGTCTTTCAGTGTGAGTGACTCTAATGGTAAAAATCCCTTTGGGCAATATTAATACCCTAGGTTTCCTACCACTGAGTTATGATATCCCAGTCTGGTTCTGTGAGATTTTGACTTCAGTGTTGGTTATAGAGTGTTGGTAGGTAGTCTGATGGCAGGACTGACTGTATGTGCAGAACCACCATACCTTCAGTTCTAATAGGATTGTGCTGACTTTTTAATAAATGTGGATCTGGTCTTGAGACTTTGATCAGCATGAAGGACTTGACTGACCACTTTTACTCCCTCAGTTATATTGGAATGTCTACACTGACTTTCATCTGATCTGGGATGTAAAATTTTGTACATTACATATTTGTGAAAGCTGAATTTAAAGTATGCTTAAATATTAAGTGATCTACCTTGCTTTATTTTTTTTGCCTGAAAATGTAACATCCTGCCTATTAATTTTGATTACTTGCATCCCATGAGTTCCCATGTTTGTTGGTCAATATACAGTGGGTGGCATTCGCTTTGAAATTGTTTTCTGAAGTGCTCTTATCAGCAACATCATCCATAATACTCAGTTATAGTTGGATAGTAATTGCCTGTCTATGCAGTGTTCCTTTACAACAATTTTCTCCTGTGTAGCTATACATATGTAGTCATTACTGAAAAGTGTAAATAAAGAATCCTTTTAGTGGTGTAGTTTCCCTGGGTACCTACTGTGCTCTTATTATCTAAAACATACTCCCCATCTGTAGTTCTGTTCTATTAAAGGATAAAGACATAACTATGAATTAAAAATTAAAATGCTTGTTGTAGATTGGAGAGCAAGGTCTAATAGAATATATCTGGTGTTAGGCTCACAGTACAGTAGATAGATTACACTAAGCACCAGTTAAGCAAGGGGATGAAAAATGAGTGATTTTCATCATTCAGTTAAATATAGTGCTAAGTGGTATGTGCTAGCATTAAAAGCAAATTACTTAGCACTTCACCAATCACAGCATGAGAGCATTCCATTGGAAGCAGTATTTCCAGTGATGCTCAGTCCTCAGTTTTATTAAATAAATCAGCTGTTAATGCTTAAGGAAGCAGTAGAAGACGTATTGCTATGATAATATAAAGATTGAAAATGTAAAAATAAAGAGAAGTCTGTGCCTCATTTTAATTAAATGTGCTAAGAAAACCTCCCTCTCTCTTAACAACAAAACTTCAAAGTGCTGGCAAATCTGTAATTTCCTGTACTTTTTTTAGGTCCTCCTTTCTTCCTAATGAATATGACCTTTCTTTTTTTTTTTCTTCTTTATAATGACATCTTTTTTTCTCATAAATCTGCTGACATGTCACTGAACATTTTGATGAGCTTTTCTGATTCCCTCCTATATCTCCTTGATAGGATATTATTATCCAGTAATCTAAAGATAGGGAACCTAATCCTCAGCACAGGTACTACTCAGTTAAAGACAATGGAGATGTGAGAATTTACAGCGCAAGAGGTTTTGACACTGAGGCCTACCTCTATATCCCCTAGCAACACTATTTCCTCCACAGCAATGGTCATTGGGAGATAGTCAAATCTGCTGTCTGAACACATGGAAGATGTGAGTAGTTGTAAACCTTCCTGAATTTCAGGCCATTCCTAAGCCACCGACTCCTCCTAAACAAGAGTCATCTATTAGCAGCTACACAGCAAAAGTCCTGGGAATGACACATGTGGAAGATGGTCCAAGGTTTGAGCCACAGCTGCATCTTCACCAGCATGATCAAATGTTAGAAGAAGAGAAAATTAAAGTTCAGGTATAAAAATCACAAGATCGTGGAGCCTATGCGTGAAGTTATCTTGAGTCCTTCATTTCCCCCCAGTGTCATTCTATGTGGAATCCTATTTTGAGTTTTCTTTTATGACTAGGTTTGAAAGCTGTTTTCTTTGTAAAGTCTACTGTGTTTGTCTGAGATAGAGTTAATTTTCCCATAGCAGCCCTCTCAGTGCTGTCCTTTGTATTGACAGCTAGAAAGGTGTTGGTAACACACCAGTGTTACGGCTGTTGCTGAGCCATGCTCACACACCATCAAGACTGTCTCCACAACCTTCTCCTGTTCACTAGTAGGCTGGGGATGGGCAAGAAGTTGGGAGGGGACACAACCAAGACTGCTGAGCCAAAGAGATCAAAGGGATCTTCCATACCATATGATGTCTGCTCAGCAATAAAAGCTAAGAGAAAGGGTTAGAAGAGGGTGGCATTCATTATTTATGAAATTTGTCCTCTGGAGCAACCACTACATGTACTGAAGCTCTGCTTCTCAAGAAGTGGCCAGACATCACCTGCTGAATGGGAAGTAGAGAATAAAATCTTTTGTTTTCCTTTGCTTCCACTTTATTAAACTGTCTTTATCTTGACCCATGAGGGATTTTTTTTTCCATCTTATTTTCTCCTCTGCCATCCTGCTGAGGAGGGGACTGATAGACAAGCTTTGTGGGCAACTGATATCCAAGCAAGGTCAACTCACCACATAAAGAGAAACTTGCAGGAAGTGAGGGACAAACTGAAAAGATGAAACCCAAGAATCTCCTGTAGGCACATAAATGCAGGAGCTCGTACATGGAGTAAAATACCACCTCTTCTTTGTAAAAATAGCAATCAATTATTTTCTGTTGTTGGGGGAGGAAAGATAAGGGGCAATCAGCTTAAATATCTTGCAAATATTTCTTTTTCATTTTTGTAATATACCATACCTAAGGGATAAGCTAGATATAGTTGATCTATTTTTAGTACAAATGTTGGTTGGAGGTGTTTCAAGTTTTCTTCTGGGCCTACATTTCTGGGATTCTCTGAAAATTATGTCATCTGCCCAAAACGACTACTGTTTCCATTTGTGCTTAACTTGTGCTTAACACCTTAGTGAAATCAGTGTAGCCCTAACTCAGCAGAAGTGTTTCTACTAATAATCTAGGATAATGATGTAGGACCTGAAAGAAATATTTTGCAAAATCTTAACTTATTTCAAAAAGTTTCCTTGTGAAAAAAAAATTGCCTTTTTTTACAATATATATTACAAAAAGAGACATTTAAGCAATGCTTCCTTCTCTTTGTGCAGTAGGTTTTCATTCCCATTTCCCTGTTTTCTTCTACTTAAATATGCACTACAAAGTTATGTTTGTTTTTTTTTTTCTTGTTTACTGTATCTTTATTCAAAGTACTTTCTTAAACCTTAAAACAACAGATATTATTTTTGGTATCAATATAACCTTTTCTTCTCAAAATATTTGAGGACATGATACTTAACCTAGTTTTCAAAACATAGAATTCCTTTTTTCATTTTCCTGGATGACACGTAATGGCTCTGATGCTTCTTTTCTGGGTATGTCAATTCTGTCATATACACTAATATGAAATAATGACACAAGGTTGACTTAACTAGACATAATAGGGCATATTTCTAAAACATTCTGTATGGGAGGTATATGCAGAGATCTTGCTACTTATTAATGAAATCGAGAAAGTTCTTATCTGCACTACAGCATATATTTATAATAGCTTCCTATTCCAAAGGCATAGACTCCTTATATAATAAAATAATAAAAATAAAAATTAAAAAAAAAAAAAGAAGGACTCTGAACAACATCGTCTTGGATAAATTTTAGAATTTCACCATGTGCAGTGAATTTGGAGCAAGAGACAACCATCATTGCATCCTGAACCAGTGCAGGAACGTGTATGTGTGTGCTAATAGAATAATAACAGGACAGATTTCAATGCCAAGCCTCTGTATTTCAAACTTTTACAGAGTTTTTTCTTCTGTTGATGCTGTTTAAGTCCTTATTTCCTGCCTTGGAATTCAAAATCGCTGTTTGAATATTATCCATGAATGTATTAGAGAGGCTCTGAACTATCAGTGAACATACATTGCTTTTCCATAATATCTTTCAAATTATTGATGGCAGTCTAAATTTGTTGATGGTCTCATCACATGATTTTGTTTCTTTAACAAGTGGTGGACAGGAATTGGTTACAGCCTCCTATTCCTGGCCTCTCCCTCTACACTTCCCCCCATTTTTAAGCATCAGCAAGATTACCACATTACATTGGTCTACTAACAACTATTACATGCTGTCTTTTCCTTATGAATCAATGGCCTTTTGCACATGTATCTAGATTATCAGGAACTCAACATTTTACTTGAGTCTGAGGCTGTATGTATAAGCTGAGGGCTTCTCTCTGCCCCTCTGACAGCCTGAGGGATTATAAAAGGAATGTCAGAAGAGCCCATACAGGCACAACTTGGACAAAAAAAAAAATAGTGAGTACAGACTATGAGCTGTTGCATTCAGGTTGCTAATTTTTAGCTTTCCTTTTCTACCCTTGCTATTGTTGTCAACACACACTCTCCTTTGAGCACAGCTGTGCCACCTGAAGAGATCATCTACAGCTGCTTTCTCATGCAGGAGAAGCTCCCTTGGGAGCTCTCCCTCACCCATTTCAGGATGAGTAGCAAATAACTTCTGTTCCAGCTGTTCAAGCCATACAGGGCCATATTTATCCAAAACAGGTGCAAGAGCATTCACATGAGCAAATCTACTAGCAGCTCCAAGTGCAGTCACCTCTGAGAGAAGGGTGGTGAGGACAGGTGGCAGTGAGGTTATTATTTCTTCATCCAGCATAGCTGCAACTGAAGTGGATTTCTACTCTGTGTGTGTGTGTGTGTGTGTCTGTCTGGTTTAAAGGTTTGTTTGGAAGTCCTGTGTTTCTTAATTTGACTATGCATGTTGTGAGTGGTAAGACAGATGTTTTTTGGTGTAGGTTTGGCATTCAGGTTGTAGGGGTTTACTTCACACTTGCAATCTGGTCCTGTGAATTTAAGACCCATTAGGCACTGAGCAAGATAGGTTTATTCCTGGAATAAACTTTCAGGAATAGATTGGAATAATCTTCCAGTCTAGTTTCAACTAAGAAACCACTGGATGTGCCCTAAAGTCGTAGTGTGAATCAGAAAGCACACTGAGTGGGGACACTGGGAAGCTTTAGCCTAAAAGCTCATCTAAGACATTTATGTATGAAGTTACCCATGGCACCATGTTTGGGAGCAGGAAAGACATAAAATGCCCATCTAATGGATGAAGGTTGATGGTTGTCCCCTAGGGGAACCTGCTCAGCTCTGTGGTTGCTTATACTCCCCACAATAGTAGGGTTGTCAGCCAAGTACTTAAATAGTTGTATGTTTTTAAATACATAAATATGCCTACTAACATATTACCTTTCTCTCTAATATTGCCATTTTCTTGGTGACATGTGCCCTCTTTCAGCTTTGTCAGGATATATAAGGAAGTCAAAGGGAGCACTAGCTGTATTTAGTTCAAGACTTCATCCATTTAGGTATGCAACAATCATATGATAGATAAGAATGTCATGAAAAACATGGTTCATTTCTAATCACATTAACATGTGTTCAAAAGGAAAAAAATGTAATTTATGAGGTTTATTATTATTATTTCAATTATGTACTCTGCTACTGCTGTTTTCATAATTCTGTCTGTCTGTTCTGAAGGAGAAACTCAATACATGCTTAATCTACCACTCATGTACCTTGGGGTAAAGAATAGCAATAAAATGGGAGTTGCCAACCAGAGTCAGCCTTAAGAACTCTGAAGAAGTAATGGAAGCCTTTGTGTCTTCCCTGAACACAATGGACATTACTCTGAAGAAGCAAATAGGATATTGGTTATGCCTTTGGCTTTCTCCAGTAAGCTTGCCAGCTGCTCTGTGTGCTATGTCTAATTCCGTGTCGTGGACGAGGAGTCCCATGCGATGTGCAGGCTGCAGACCTCTGAAGCCCACTTAACTGGACCATACACAGTCCCAGCTGTTATATTCCTGGGTAAGATGAAACAAAAAGTTGCTGAGAAAGATACTCCTTCAAGTGAAGGACCCAATCAGAGGATTTCTCCAGGCTTCTGATCAGATGGGACCTGAAAAAGAGAGGAAAGGGGCCTCATACAAGGTCAGAGCTTTGTCAGCAAAGGCTACAGTGTTTTTACTGGCTCTAGAAGGTTCCAGGAAAGGGAGTGATTTGTCTGGGTAATTAGGTCAGGACAGTAGTAGTTTCGCTTCCTTTTATCCTTGTTATGTGGATAACTCAGATTTATTTTTTCTTCTTCATGGACTCAGCAGTACAATTTCAAAATTGACATGGTGCTCATCAGAAGTTAGTAATTGGATAGTGCAACCCATTTGTATGATAAAGCTGAACTGTTCGGTTTTGGTTTCTAAAAGCTAATAGGCATTGTTCCTTCTTTGACATTTGATTTTAATGGCTGTAATGTTGCTCCTGTCCCAACAGCTATACGTCTGGTCTGGGTGTTTGCCTTGACTATATGCTTCCTCTGCAGGCTGCAGGAGACTATTTTTAACACTTTAACTTCTGGTATATGTAGTAGTTTCCTCATTCCTCCAAATGCTACTTATCCCATGAAACTGTCAAAGACAAAGTGCTAGCACTCAGCAGTGAATTAAAGCTAATAGCAGAGGTACAGGTTTTCCCAGGTCTGCATTGCTCTAGTTAATTCAGAAATGGCATAATCATAAAAAAAAAAATCTTCATTACAATTTTGCACCAGTATGATCCTATAAGTTAGTTAGGTGAAGTGAAACTTTGGTAAAAATGGATGTATAAAACTCCTCTGACTGTATCATTTGCCACTAAATGGAGTTTTCCAAGGTACCACTTTGGTTACTGTAGGACTGGCTTATTGCAGCTCCTTTTCCTTTGGCCTTCAAGCAAAATCAATTCATGAACTATGCAACACTGCTTTAAGGCTTTTTTTATGAGACTAGCCTAATTTACATATGGCATTGTCCCTACTTTACAGTCTTTTAATTGGCTACAAGCAGCCTACCATATTGATTGAAAAATTCTTCTTACATTTAGAGCTACAGCTAATTATGATCTTTCTCCTCTCCTTGTCTACTTGATTTGTAGTTCACATCTCCTTTTCAGGAGCTCACTCCTTTCTCTTTCAGCCTGGAGTCTCCTCTACTGGGTCTCATTCCTGCCTTGTTTTCATAAAAACTCCTGTTTAAGTCTCTGTGTTTAGCAAGATACTGAATGAGATGGACCCTGGGGCTCAGTGGCAAATTCTGCTTTCCACATAAAAACACTGGGAGGCTCTTGATAGTATCATTACATTATCTAAGATTGATTGTTTAGAGAATATTTCAGTAGCAAAATAGAAAATATAAATTAAAAAAAAAGTCAACTCTAAGTGTTTAGTTTTATGGAGGCTAAAGAGAGGTTACAGAGAAAAGGTCACTCAGTAAATAAAGTGCATATTTCCTTGTAGTTAAATATAGTAGAATCCTTACTGAAAGGGCTGTTAAAAACAGTTGTCACTCTTGATAACTGTAAACGTGTAGCAAAGTTAATTCATGAATATATTGTTATGGAAGAAGTACCAGAAGAAAATGCTATGATGAAGTATTATTTTCCAGAAATCTGACTGTAGTAATTTCTCCCAGATTATGATCCAATGATATATGAACTTCTAACTCCTGCAAAAAAAAGGGTGTTAAATATTGTGGAATATCTATCTGAAGACTGTTGCATCAGGTTGCTGTACAATCCTCACTGCTATGTAATCAATGGAAAATCTGTCTAAGCAAGAAAGATGTGAAATGGCATTCCACACTGCCACGAGTAAAGCTGATTGAAAAAATTCCACTTGACACATTGTGTCACAAACTGGGGGCAGAAATTTTAGCATAATTCAGGAACTCAAAAGAGAATTATTCCAAGATCTGGAAAATGTTGTCATCAATCTCTTTGGAGTAAAATGTGTGAATTATTTTTATTCTTCCATTCATTAATATCCATATTTCCTTCTTTTATGCCTTATTTACACATTTAATTTAAATGAGAGCCACTGTGTTCTGGCTAAATGTCATATATATGTTGTATGTAATAGAACTATGATTAACTCTATGAATAATTACCATTTGCAACTAAACAATTCAGATGGATATTTTCATTAAGAAAACAACATGGGGTCATTATAAGGTTCTGGTCGCTGCCCCAGTCTCAGAAAAAAAATATAGTTCTCTGAACCACCAATCTGAACTGGTGATAAAATATCCCAAGTAGGCTCACATTAAGCTGGATAATATGCAGGCTGCTTGATTTGTATTGAATATGTGTCTGGTGGCTGGAACCCACTGTAATGAACTAGCCCACAAATCACAGCTTAATGGGAATCTACTTATACATATTGCTTAATTAAAAGTTGTGAGCTTATTAACATGTGTCTTTGGCACTGAGCTTTGGGGATGTAATCTCTGTGCAAATAAGACTAGGTTGTAAAAGTTTTATAGATTGACAATGATATTAAATTCCATACCCTAATAACCCATCATTTTCTCAAAGCATGGTTCCTATTCTGTATCTGTTCAAAACTGTGACAAATTATTTGTTTGTAATCCTTTACAGTGTAGGACTCTGTGTGCTTGCTTTACCTCAGAGATTTGGTGCCAATGATGTTTCATCTACTTCCTCCTCCTTTTTTGAGTGTTGCTAGCTATTCTGGCTGGCTTACAAAGTCAGAGACTTTTTTATTACAGACACCCCATGGCACAACACATTAGTTAGAATTGTGCCAGTGTTTCCATTATAAACCTCTGTTTTCATGGGTTTATAACTTTACTGTAAAAATTTGCTTCAGGCTCAAACTTGGACTAGAAGTTCTAAGAGTGGGTGAGAACATTTTTTAACAATTAGAACAAAAATCTGTAGTATGTTGTTCTTGGTTACATGACTTTTTTAATTTCTGCATAGCTAGTTTCAGAAACATTTCTGTCCAATTTTTTTTTCTCTTTATCTCAGCTAATTCCACTTAATGTTCATTATTGATTTCATTTTATGCAAGAAAAAAAAGAATAAAGCAACCTCTTGTAACACTTTAAAACCATGTTTTCTTCTTTCGCTATGAAAATATTTATTTTCAACCTATTTGGTACCTCCCCTTAGAGGCTTTGCTATACCATGATGCTACAGGGGGAGAAGAAGGGAGAGTTTGTTAAAAGGAGATAGAGAGACAAGCTTTCAGAGGTGGTTGTAAGATTCCAGTGTTTTTTCATCAATATCACATGCACCATAGCTGTCCTTTCGGAAGAGAATCACACATTTTCACATTACACCCTCTGAATCACAGATCTGTGAAAGAGTGAAGAAAATAAAGATCTATTCTCACTAGTTTTGATGTCCTCCTCTTCAGAAACTCTACTTGAGAAAAAGACTGGTTAGCTGTGTTATGCCTCCTCCCCTTCATGCTTCATTCAACATCAATGTCCCACCAGAGAGCAGACACAGCAAAGAACTTTGGTTTTCCCCAGCTGACCTCTTTGTCAAAAAAGGGTTAGGAACCATTTCAAACAGATGTGCCTTCCTCATGCGAGACAGTTGTCTTTGCTGCCAGCATCAGATCACTCTGAGTAAGTATTAATGAAACCAGAACTCCTTAAAGGATTTGGAAGTTAGAAGTGAGGACTTGAGTCTCAATGAAGGACTTGAACATGGGGGGAGAGATCAGTCTCAGAGAAACTGCATTAAGCCTCATGATGTTTACCAGAGGTCTATACAGTTCTTCTACCCTTGAGAGGACAGCAGATTGTGTGCTATACCGTTGTCTCCGTACTTTACCATCACGCTGTTCACTAAAATCATATCTGGGGGACAAACAGGGATGGTTGTTCAAAAAAACGTGGAGATGGGCAGGATTCTAGTATGTAGATCTGTCATATCTGACATAGACAATCTGAGACCTGTGCATATGGGTCTAGCCTGAAGATTCTCTGCAGCAGCAAAAAAGTTGAGCAGTGCTGTATATATAAATACTGTGGTCTCCCACTGTGTGCTGTCATCAAACCAGGATTGTTAACAATCTTTGGAGATTGATGCTCAGTGCCACTTTTGAGGCTCCCTGCAAGAAGGCATCTACTCCACACTGTAGCTCAACTTGTGCTCTGTTACTGTCTGACCTGAGGCCTAAATGATGTTGTGCCTTCTTAAAACTTTGGGCTGAAAGCTTTGGGGTATATAATTACAGAGAGTTTACTGATAAGAGAGGTTTTTGTTGATGAAAAGGGGGGAAAAAAGGAACTGTCTCTGGAGAGAGTTCCTGAAAGGCCTGGATCTATTTTCTACTCCAGTCTTTTGTATCATGCTGGGTACTACAGTGAGATCCCATCGCAAAAATGTGAGATCCAGCAGCCAGCAGACCTGGACTAGGCTGCGATATTTCACAATCTTGATTTGTACAGAGCCTGATGCAACAGGTGGTCCCGTATGAGCTTTTACAGTGAGCATTATACAATAATGAAGGATTAATCACAAGTGACTAACAACTAGATATTTCTTTCTAGAACAGGATGCAGATGAATATGTCCTAGTTGAAAAAATAACTATTGTTTTCAATATACATGCTAAAATAAACTGTATAGCTACACTGCATTCACAGCAGAGTTAACATAACTGCATATGGCAACTGAATAAGCTAAATTATAATAGAATATTCTTGAAGGATTTTCTTTTCGTAGCTCACAAATTTTGAGTTCTGTACACAAACAACTTTTACTCTAATTCCTTAATTTTTGTATTCATCAGAAGTTCTGACCACTGAAAAATAATTATTTCAGTTTGGCAGAAAACTCAGTTATTTTGAACAATTGATTAGAAAAAGATCAAGTCAGATGTGGTTTTGATTTCAGACTTCACAACTGTATAGCAAGAAGGGGTTTTGAAACAAATGCTTGTTTCAGCCTGAATTGTCAAAACATTTAATTACAAAATGAATACACATACAGAGCTGAATTTCTTGAAGGAAATTATTTTGACAAAAAGTTCAGCAACACGTCCCTATTTTCATAAATCCATTTGATGGCACCTTTTTGTCTAGCAAAAATTTTCCCTGCTTTAATCCCAAACCCACATTATTAAGACCTGACTAAAGAAAACAATTAAATACCACTGAAGCTGGAACTTGAGAAAGCAATTGAAGTGTTGAGCACGCTAAGTTTCTGGCCTGATTCCTTCTGAACCTCATTCTTTAGAAATCTACTCCCTGTTAATTAATTTGATTAAGTAGCGTTTTGTCTGAGACACCCTCCATTGTGAAGAAAAGGAAAGTAAGAGGAGCTGGTTGGCAGTTAGACTAATGAGAAAATGATAATTTCTCTAATACCCTGCCAGGGTCCAGTAAAATACTACTCGCATTAAAATAAAAGTTATATTTCCCTAATCTTTTAGAGATGTGTGATTCTTTCAAAATTATATTAAAATCAAAGACTTATTACTGTCCCGAGCTGCAGCCCATTTGTTTTAAGAGGTATGTTTGAATTCCAGGGAAGAAAAAGGAGAATTAATTGCAAATCTGTCTTACACGCTTTTGTATCGGATTCTTTCCACAATTTTATATTATTGTATTTTGTATAATAAAAATGAACTTATGTATGTCTTTTGAATTTCCTCATTCATTAGGCAGCCAAGAATTGCTTAGGAAGTAATGTTTGTGTGTTATTTGACCTAGGTAAGAAACCCAGAGACAATAACACCAGCCCTCCCTGTGTAACAAAGACAGCTGAGCAATTAACCCATGAGCATCCTCACTTAGTTGCACTTCTCATGCACATGTTGGTTGTGAGAAAGCCTCACAAAGGGCATTCAGAGACACAGCCAAATCGATGCCAGAGCGGTAGGAGAGCAAGGGACAATCAGCAAGGGTCGTGACATATGGGATGTGTCCAGGGAGCCTGGAGAATGGTGTTGCACCACAGACTGACTGCCCATCTGCTGTCATGGAGGGTGATGGCAGAGGCTGATCTGTTAATGGCAGTGGTGAAAGCTGCAATGCTGCAATGCCTCTCCTGTCCGGGGGGAACTTGGCATGCAGCTAGGCACGTGCTTTCCTGCTTTTGGAGCCAGCCGAACCTCATTCTCCAACGCTGCCATGCTCAGTGACTCCCCAAGGCTTTGAAGGAACGTGTGCTGGCCACACAAAGGGAGTATAGTAAGTCTGTAGCATCTGGGGTACAAAAAAGTCAAGACCTGAGAAAAATCAAGGTATTGGTGCAGCTGCCTTCAGCAGATTTTCTGTTGCTCCTTCTGTGCTGCTCTTTCTGTGCTTCAACAGTCAAGCACACAGTGACCTGCCAAGACCAGAGGAACATCCAGACTTAAGTGAGGATCATAGACACTGCTGAGCCCTTACATAGGTCACACCTAGACAAACAAAGACAATCTGAAGCCATTAACTCCACTCTTTTTGGGTCCTCTGCATCTATGACTCAGACTTTCTCTAACACAGCATATGAGTATACTTTCTCAAAGATCTAATTGATATTCAGACAGAACTTTCTTCATATTAATGAAATTCACAGGTATGCTTCGGGGAAAAAGTCAGCATTGTAATGTGAATTTAGGTGTATATTGCTTAATCAAGGCTTTTCCAAATTAATTCACTAATAATAAGTATTCATGCTGGTTCTCTTTCAAAAGTTTCTTTGTTTCAATACAGCCAATACTTTTTAAACAGTAAAAGCTAATTATCAAATTAAAACAGATGAGGCTGTTCATGTCACAATGCAAAAACAATTTCTGTTGAAATATTATGGTTTTTCTTCCATACTGTAGGTATCCCAGGAAAAAAATTATGTTTTATCTGCTACCCCAGATTGCCATTGAGCAGAATTCCATTTTCCACCTAAATAGCCTCATAATAGCCCAGTGCTTTACAGAAAGATTAATCAAATCCTTCCTTCACCAATACCACATTAGCTTTCTGCCAAGACACTGGTCCTGACAGAAAAAATGCTATGCAATCCAGACTACAGCACCAAGGATGTAAGTAGAAGAGGAATAAGGCCAAGGGAGGTGAGACCTAAAGAGACACGAGTAAGCGAGTATAGGGCCATGAGGTCAACGTTGCCTTTGACCAGGCTGAAGTTTAAGGAGTGCAAAGGATAGAAGGAGTTTTTTCAAACTACAGAGTTATGAATGCCCACAGTGCCTGACAGCTGGATGTGAGTTTCACTATACTCCCTTGGATGAAACCCTACTTCCTCTGAAATCAGCTGGAACTTTGCCCCAGGGAGCTGGCACAAATGCTACACGGGGACCAAAGAAAAGGGATATGGCCATATTGTAGGATGTGATTCCCTTCTCCTCACTCAGGAAAATAATCAGTAATTACTCAAGCAACTGAGGCAGAGCTAAACTTCTTAGGTCATTAAGATGAACAAGATAGGGCTACTGGTGTAATATTCTGAGAAAAGCCACTTATGCTAATAGTTCCCATGGAAAAAAAAAAAAAAAAAAGGAAAGAGACAGAGATTCTCTGGCTGTGTGAATTCCTAGATAAAAAATGGGATCCTGCCTGTGTTGTCTAAACTTCTTGAGCTTACTGAGCAGGAACTGGAGAATAAACTGAGACTAAAATTTTTTCATTTATTTAGTCATGGTCTCAGAGGAAGTCAGCACAGTGAAGAGATAAATAAAAATGTTCTTCAATTGCTTAAAAACAACAATAAAAAAATTTATTCTGACCTTAAATTGAATCATGAAAAGATCAGTGTACCTAGTTTTAAAGTAAATCCACATACCAATCTATCTAGGGCATATCTAGAACACTTGCTGAAGGATTTATATTATAATGCGAATAATTTCATTATTTCTTCTGGCCTCTCATGAACATACCCAGAAATGAAAGGACTCTCTTTATCCACCATGCAAGTACAGCTGAAGTGTTATCATTGCAGGCTTTTCTGTCTTGTCCTACTAATCTATGCATCCCTAAAAGTGCAATGATAATTTACTCTTTTTTTTTTTTTCAAGAGCACTCTGGACTGTGATACTGAATTGGTGAAGGACTGTGTGTTCTAATTCTCTGGAATGAAACTAAAATACAGTATT